AGGCTACAGTCCATGGGGTCACAAAGAGTCGGACACAACTGAGTGACTTCACACATGTCCTTATCTGTGATGAAAGTGTATACGCGAGCAGGAATTTCTTTTCATGTTCAATTATTTTCTCACGCTTCATAATCAGAAAGAAAAAACAGCCGTTGGCTCAGTGTAACAGACACTCGGTGACCGTCGGGTGAGCTGGTCCCCTCTCCCACTGTCTGGCCTCTCGGTTCTGTCATTCCAATGCCCGCCGTGCCAGAGCACATGGACCGCATCTTTGTAGCCATCATTTCCCTGTCTCCGTCTTGAATCTCTGAAGCGGTCATTTTTTTCTCTTTTTTTCTGCGTCTACCCTCTGGAATGTTTTAAAGGAAAAACATGTCTGCTTCAGCTGCAGACATTATTTTGGAGGCGTACTGGCCCGTCCTTTACACAACTGTAAGCCGGCATGTCTGCTGGGATGCACTGCGAGACCTTTCATTTCCCCAGACCAGGAACCACACTGCCCACATTCCGATCGAGGGCCCCTGGGATCAGCTTTCCTTGTCCTGAGAAACCTACATGCTGAGGCGAACCAGCCCTGAGAATTGCACATGGCTGGGTTGTTTTAGCTGTTTCAAAACTTGAGTGTTTAAAAACCCAGGAGACTTGACAATGTGTATCTGGACTCTAGCCCCCCAGCCAGGCCCCTCTGGAGGCAGACCCTGTGTCCTGCATTCTGTATGTTTCCCTTCCTGCACCCTGTTCATTCTTTTTTTTTTTTTTAATGTTCCCTTGCTGCTTTCTTAATAAAACATCTTTTTGAAAGGGTAAAAGCCTTAAATGAATTTTTCTGTATTTTTAGCTGTTTAGCCTTGGCTTATGTTTGACCAAGAAGACCCCAAACCAAAAAAAAAAACAAACAAAAAAAAACCCCAAACAGTAGGGCAGCCTGTTTGGATAACAAGCATTTTTTGCTTGAATGTTTATTCCCAAGACCCTCGCCTGACTGAGGGACATGGAAATTAAAGTTTTCATTTTGGACCATTTTGTATGATTGGAATTTTTACCCCATGCCTATTATTACTTTTTTGTTTGTTTGTTTACAGAGGTATACTTTATCAATTCATTGTAGGTTATAGCATAAGAGAAGAGGTTTTTCTGCAAAACAAAGATTAAAGTTAGTATATTTTCCCCAAAGTCATAAAGTTGTGAACCATACTCATCAGTTCATTCAGTCCCATGTAATTGATTCCTGTTGATCTGGATGAAGTAAACAGATTTTTCAGTCGAGTTTTGTCGTTTATTGGGCTTCCCAGGTGGTGCAGTGATAAAGAATCTGCCTGCCAATGCAGGAGATGAGAGTTTGATCCCTGGGCCAGGAAGATCCCCTGGAGTAGGAAATGGCAACCATTCCAGTATTCTTGCCTGGAAAATTCCAGGGACAGAGGAGCCTGGCGGGCCACAGTCTGTGGTGTCGCAGAGAGTCAGACATGACTGAGCACAGCCAAGCAAAATTTTTGTCATTTGTTACTCGGTTCAGTGGTATTATCTAAAGGCTATCAGAAACTTATATTTGTTAAGATTAAGTTCTTTTTACGAGTCTTCTTGAAAATCTTCATTTTGTAAAAGCATCATTGTAAAATAACAATTGCTGTTATTACTTTAAAATATAGTTTATGTACGTGTCCTGTCGCTTGCTGTATGTTCAAAGATCCTTTTAACTTTGGAAGAACTAAATTTTAATTATAAGTAAAGATGATTGCTTATAGAGGGGATCCTTTTATTTTTCACTTTTTTTGATAGGTTGCAGGATTTTTTTAAGAATACAGGCTTAAAAATAAACCTTCTGCATCAGAATTATGGCTTTCTGTCTGTACTCTGCCCTTTGTACTGGGAAAACCCAGCCCTAATTTCTGAGATAACTCAAGCTTTCTGGACTGACGTGAAGGGTGGTGCTGGGTCCTACCCAGGCTGACATCACATGCTGGCCACACTGGGATCTGATTATTTATGAACTACTTCCTTGATATGCTGGAATTAAGTGCGCTGAGAATCAAGCGCACAGAAACACTGAAAAACTGAACTGATGTTTCAGTGTTGAAACCCACAAATATGTCCTGGTTTGGAAATTTTTAGGGTGAGACATTTCTGGATCATGGTTTTCATGAACTATCAAATTATGCGTGTGTCAAAGCTTTCTTGCTTTAACTGTGTGGATTGAATGATCAGGATAATGTTGCTGAAAGAGTTCCTGTCTTCCTTTCCAGCTTTGATATATCCAGCCCAGACTGAGAGGGGGCTGCCTCCCTGCCTGTGATTCAGCCCGCCTTTCACATCCTTAAATAGTCCAGTGGCTGTTCTTGGCTACCTGGCCTTTGGTTTGGGGTTTGCTGGTGAAAATAAGTGATAGGAACAGTCGAAGTGCATGTTCACACCTCCTGGTGGCGTTGGAAATTTCCAAAACAAATCCCACTCTTGTGCCCAGGGACTGAACCCAGGCATCAGGTGGTAATAGGCCCTCAGGGAGGATCCTGGGGTTGGCTGCAGCTTCATTCAGAATAAACAGGCTTTGGCGTTGATACTTTGGGGAAGGTGGCTCCATCTGGGGGAATGGGCAAGTGGTATTCGGGAGTCTTTGCATCCCCTGGAGGGTGAGCAGAGAGGCTGTGTGAAAGAGCTGGGAGGAGGCCCTGGTGGAGAGGTGAGGTCTCCCCTTGTGGCCTGTGTGGTCATTTGAGACTCTGAGTTCAGTTCTCAGCAACTTCCCCTTTCCAGGTGCCTACCCTTGGTATTTACTAAGGCTAGCCACTCCTCATCACCAAGGCCACCACGTTAGCACATGACTGTCAGGAGAGAAAGATACAAATAATCCTCTCAACATCTAAATGACAGATATGCAAACTGTTCTTGAGGCCCTGGACGTGTAATGGAAACACACCAGGCTGGCGAGGCGAGGCTGTCTGTAAAGACCTTGCATCTCCCTTCTTCTCCAGCTGTGAACTGTAGTATTGAAAATCCTAAATGATTTCTTCTAGGGTCCAAAACTGAAGCTCCCACCATGTTCTCAGGTCTTGGTTGTGTTTTGCCAACCCCGTATAAATCCTTCTCGATGACACTGTGTGCTGGATTTCACGTGCAGCCTTGTGACTTAGGGCTGAGGTGGGCTATAGGGGCTTTCCCCCTTCTCCTCTTTTGACTTAGAACATTTAAATTGGAAGCTTAAGCCTCCCTCAAAAACAATGTTAATTCCAGCCTGTTTTTCTGTGTATCATAAAAGATGGCCCAGGCAGGATGAGTTCAGAGAGAGTGCTGAGCTGGAATCTTGGTGTAGAGAAAGGAGCTTTGGGGAAATTGCAGAGCTGGTTCAGAGTCCTGGGTGTGCCTTGTAACAGTTGCAAGACCTTGTACAAGTCACCTAACTTGTGAGCCTCAATTTTCCTTATCTGTAAAGTGGGTATACTGTCCTACTTCATGCCATTCTCATGAGACTTAAAGGAGGATGTTTTCTCAGTGCGTTTCTGCTTCCCTCTGCCCCTTTAAGTGCAGAATGAGCTAAGACGATGGGGGCAGCAATCCACCCGAGTGAGTAAGACAAGCTGAAGGTGAAAGAGGAAATTGTGTTTATTTGGGCAAAACCATCATTTCCTTAAAGTCCATAGCCCTCGGCTCTTAAATAGGTCACCGAGAAGAACATCGGAGTGCGGTTCTCAGCGTGTGAGCGTGACCCCGGGGGTGACTGTGGGGAGGCCCTGTATTTGGAGCTGTTTGTCCAGTGGAAGTCGTGCCACTCACCAGGCTCACATTTTTGCAATTCGCCCGATGGAGCACGCCAAGGAGGAGTTTCCTTCCTCTGCAGTTTTTCTTTCATGGGCTGATAGAATATCCTTTGCCATGTCATGAGGTTGTTTGCAAAGGACCGAGTGAAATACTTGAATCGTGTTTGAAACATTCCTTTTTCTGATCATTAAGCTGGAGATGAGTGTCTCCGCTTGTTTCTCGTTTTTCCCCATTGTGGTAAAATACATACAACAGAAGTGACCATTCTAACCATGCTCATGTTCTGTGGCTTTACTTAACTTTCACATCGTCAACTGTTACCACCACCCAGGTCCAAAACTTTTCATCCCCCAGCTGACGCTCTGTACCCGTTAAACACTAACTCCTCTTCACCCCACCCCCAGTGCCTGGCACCCACCGTTCTCTTTCCTGTCTCCGAAATTGACTTGCCTTAAGCTCCCCTGGCGGCTCAGATGGTAAATAATCTGCCTGCAATGCAGGAGACCCGGGATCAATCCCTGGGTTGGTAAGATCCCCTGGAGAAGGGAATGGCAACCCACTCCAGTATTCTTGCCTGGAGAATCCCATGGGCAGAGGAGCCTGACGGTATAGTCCATGGGATCGCAAAGAGTCGGACACAGCTGAGCGAGGAACACTTTCACCCAGGGATCCCTGGAATCATGCAGTACTTGTCACTTTGTTTCTGTCTTAATTTCACTCTTTTTTTTTTTTTCCTTAATAGATATTTTTTTACTGTGTTTTGCAGTTTCCATTACTCCCTGGCAGGGACTGTTCTACAAACCCTTGTTTTTCTCTGAGATACTCTTGTAAATTTGCACTTTATCTTTGTAACTGTTTTACCCCTTTGAAGGAAAAAACCAGTCAGAGCCAGTCATAGGAAATGATTTGATGGAATGTGTATATTATTCTTAAAATAACTCTCTACTGACTCAGGATTTTAGGTGACTATACACTAAGTACCGCTGGAGAAGGAAATGGCAACCCTCTCCAGTATTCCTGCCTGGAGAAGTCCATGGAAATAAAACTACGAGTTCTGCCCTCCCCTCCCCTCCCCTCTCCCCACCTTCCCCGAAGAAGGGCGCGTAAGATGTGTTTTAAGAAGGGCGCGTAAGATGTGTTTGTATATGAGGCTGGCAGTAGCAGAGGGGGGGGGCCAGATAAAGGACTGTGCATCCTGTTTTAGGCTCTTCAGTTCCAAGGTGACCTCTCGGCCTTTCTCCTCCTAGGTGGTACACCTTGAAATCCAAACCGGGGAAGAAGGATAAAGAGCGAGGAGAAATTGAGGTTGACATCCAGTTTATGAGAAACAATATGACAGCAAGCATGTTTGACCTTTCCATGAAAGACAAGTCTCGGAACCCGTTTGGGAAACTGAAGGACAAGATCAAGGGCAAGAATAAGGACAGCGTGTCCGATACGGTGTCAGCCATCGTCCCCCGCGTGACGCCCTCGGCTGACAGCGATGACGAGTCTCCTTCCAAAGACAAGAAGAAGAAGTCAAAGATCAAGACCTTGTTTTCCAAGCCCAACCTGCAGAGAACGCCACTTTCCCAGTCCATGTCCGTCCTGCCGACCTCAAAGTCAGACAAAGTGGTGCTTCGTCCTGGAGACTTTGAGTCCCGGTGGGAGGACGATGACGGGGACGAGTCTTCCTCTGCCTCGGATGGTGAGTCCCCTCCTCCTCCTTCGCACGCGGCTTCTCCCCCTCCTCTGCTTTGGGAGAGAAGAAATGAACAAATCTTAAGAGAACGATTTCCATCCAGTTCCTCAGTTGTTAAAATGATGGTGGTGGTGGGGGGGACGGTGTAGATGGTGGTGGTTACAGTAGTGGTGATGGTGGGGGATGCTGTAGATGGTGGTGGTTACAGTAGTGGTGATGGTGATGGTGGGGGATGGTGTTGATAGTAGTGGTTATAGTAGTGGTGATGATGATGGTGGGGGATGCTGTAGATGGTGGTGCTTACAGTAGTGGTGATGGTGTTGGGGGATGGTGTAGATGGTGGTGGTTACAGTAATGGTGATGGGGATGGTGTTGGGGGGGATGGTGTAGATGGTAGTGGTTACAGTAGTGGTGATGGTGATGGTGGGGGATGCTGTAGATGGTGGTGGTTACAGTAATGGTGATAGTGTTGGGGGATGGTGTTGATAGTAGTGGTTACAGTAGTGGTGATGGTGGGGGATGGTGTAGATGGTGGTGGTTACAGTAGTGGTGATGGTGATGGTGAGGGATGCTGTAGATGGTGGTGGTTACAGTAATGGTGATGGTGGGGAATGGTGTAGATGGTGGTGGTTACAGTAGTGGTGATCGTGTTGGGGGATGGTGTAGATGGTGGTGGTTACAGTAATGGTGATGGGGATGGTGTTGGGGGGGATGGTGTAGATGGTAGTGGTTACAGTAGTGGTGATGGTGATGGTGGGGGATGGTGTAGATGGTGGTGGTTACAGTAGTGGTGATGGTGATGGTGGGGGATGCTGTAGATGGTGGTGGTTACAGTAATGGTGATGGTGATGGTGTTGGGGGATGGTGTTGATAGTAGTGGTTACAGTAGTGGTGATGGTGATGGTGGGGGATGCTGTAGATGGTGGTGGTTACAGTAATGGTGATGGTGATGGTGTTGGGGGATGGTGTAGATAGTGGTGGTTACAGTAGTGGTGATGGTGATGGTGGGGGATGCTGTAGATGGTGGTGGTTACAGTAATGGTGATGGTGATGGTGTTGGGGGATGGTGTAGATGGTGGTGGTTACAGTAATGGTGATGGTGACGGTGTTGGGGGGATGGTGTAGATGGTGGTGGTTACAGTAGTGGTGATGGTGATGTGGGGGATGGTGTAGATGGTGGTGGTTACAGTAGTGGTGATGGTGATGTGGGGGATGGTGTAGATGGTGGTGGTTACAGTAGTGGTGATGGTGTTGGGGGGGATGGTGTAGATGGTGGTGGTTACAGTGGTGGGGGATGGTGTTGATAGTAGTGGTTACAGTAGTGGTGATGGTGGGGGATGGTGTGGATGGTGGTGATTACAGTCGTGGTGATGATGATGGTGGTGGTGGTGCTTTTACTGATGGTGCTGGAGATGCTGGTGCCGGTACTGGTGCCGATGGTCATCGTAGTGGTGATGATGGTGGGTACTTAAGAATACTAACTAAGATTAGGAAGCCTTCTCTATTTCTAAGTCCTCGAGTTTCTGGGAATGTGTAAATTCCTTTCTCATAATGTCTGGCTGTATAACTAATGAGCGTTAGTACAAGCTTTTGGGGCTAGCACGTAAGGTTTTGAATTTGTTTCTTTTTTTTTTTAGATTAAGGATAAAACCATAGAACCTTACAGCAATTCTGATAGTTCATTAATTCATCGGGTATTGTATTGAGCTTCCATGAAATACATTCCTAATGAAAGCTGAGGAATCCAGTTCCCTTAACTCTGAATTAACTGGGTATTTTGAAATTCAGTGACCAGTTCCCTACTACTGGCCAGATTCTGCAACCCAGCCACGAGTGCTGCCCTTCTCCCTGGTCCTTGCAGTTTCCTGACCTCAGCACCGTTGACAGTGGGGGTGGATAGCTCTTTGTTACGGGAGCCTTCGTGTGTTCTGTGGGATCTCTAGCAGCGTCCTGGCCTCTGCCTGCTGGATGCCAGTAGCACGCCCTGCCCAGCTCTGACAATCAGAAAAAGGACTCAGATGTGCTTTCTCTCAACTTCTAACCCCCTTGGTTCTTGGGTCTTCTCCCCGCAGTCTTGTCTCACAAGAGGACAGCAAGCGCAGATCCTAAGCAGCTGAACCAGGTCAACTTCAGCCCCCCCAGGAAGGAAGGCCTCTCCTTCCTGGGCGGCCTCCGATCTAAGAACGACGTCCTCTCCCGCTCGAACGTCTGTATCAACGGGAACCACGTCTACGCGGAGCCGCCCGAGGCCAAGAGCGAGACCAAGGACAGCTCCCCGTCGCCCTCCCCGTCCCCCCAAGGCCTCAGGAAGAAGCGGTGGTTCTCGTCTTCGGAAAACCTGGCCTCTCGGCCTTGGAAGGAGCCTGGGGAAGCAGGCGCTGTGCCTCCTGAGTCTTCCGCAAAGGATGCCCTCAAGTCTATGTCCCTGCCGTCCTCCCAGCCGCAGGTCAGCAGGGACCTTTGGGAGGACGCGCCCCTGGTGACCTTGGAGGCTGCAAAGGAAACCAAAGAGAGCAAGAAACAGGAGAACAAGAAGTCTGCTCTGCTCTTCAAGGTGCCGGGAAAGAAGGATCCGGCCAAGGGCAGCGAGGGTGAAAGCCCTCCCGCCTCCGCCTCCGGGAAGGAGAGAGAGGGAGAGCCTCCCGCGCTCAGGGCCGGGGAGCACCAGCCAGGGCCTGCTGATGACCTTGCGAAGAGATCGGACAAAGAGGCCGCGGCTATTGCCTCCAGACCGGGCCGAGCGCCGAACCCCTTTGGAGATGGGCCGCTCCCAGAACCAGAAGCTGACCCAGAGCCCAAGGCTGCTCCTGTCCCACCTGTTCTCTCGCCCAGGGCTCCCCAGACCAGAGCCGTGAAACCCCGGTGAGTCTCGGCCCTTCCTGGCAAGAAGGCCTACTGTGGAGCAGGCCTTGCTTGTTGGTCTGTGGTGGTAGCAGCCGGGGGTTTACTAGTCTAAGTCACTCTTAGCCAGCCGCTATGTGTCCCAGCCCGGGGCCTCTGCCAGCAGGCGTGGTCCATCCCTTGTCCGGTATATCCTCTGTAAGTATCTTTGCCTCAGATATCTTGGCCACAAGTGTTTCCCCTGCAAATATTTTTTGCTTCTGGCAAAAGTTCGCAGGACTGGTCTGTCCATCTCAGTGAGATAAGCAGAGCGCAGTGGAGTGCCCAGGTTTTGTAGCAGATTCTGAGCGTCAGGGTCTGGGAAGAACACCAGGTTTTCGTGGTGGTGGTGTGCGCAGAACTGGGGATCAGTCCATTCTTCCCACGTATTCCGTTGGAAGCAGATGTAATCTCTCCTCCTGGCACTTTGGTGTGGGTTTGCTGCCACAAGAGCCCCTTGGTCCCCGGTCGACTGTGTCTGGGCGGTCCTCTATGTGGTTACTCTGCAACTTGTTGCAAGAGCCTCGGGGGTTCTGCTTTTCGGCATGACTCATGTTCACCGTCATGGTATTCCTAGTGGCCGGGGTGAGAGAGACTTTTTTTTGAGATTCTGCCTACTTTGAGTTCACAGACACACACACACACACACACACACACACACACACACACACACACACACACACTGTTCCCCTTCAAAATCTGCCTCTTGCCCTGTGGTGCGCCTTGAATGGCTTTGCATTTTTTTAGATGGTTTTTTTTAATCACCAGAAGAGACTGCGGGCTGTTGCTTTCCCTGGACCTTTTTGTTTCCATTGCAACAGAACTTTCTGTAGCAGATGTGCTTGGTGATAAAAGCATGCCTTTTATGGGTTAAGTACTGGTGTTCCTTCTTTAACTTCTGGAGGTACTGCCCCCAGAATATATTTAAAAAAAAAAGAGTTCTTGTCTTTGGAAAGACTATAGTTTTACATATCTCTTGCCTCTTATGTTGCATCTGCAACTGACCCGCAGGTTTTATTTTGTCCTTTTTGCAGGCCGGAAGTGTCTCCAGAGGCTCGGCCCGCACCCAGGCCCCCTCCTTCCACTAACTCTCCCCTCTTTCTTTCTGCTCTCCCTTCCAGTTCTGGGCAGATACCTGTCCCTTCTAAGCCGGGGTGTGACTCAGAGACACCGTCTTCTGAGTCCCCTTCAGGCTGCTCCTCTGTCTCCTCTCCCATAGCGGCCCCCATCTCCACATCCACCCCAATTAAGAACTGGCCCTCTGCAGACCTGGGCCAGGCCGGCTCCAAAGAACTGCCTTTGCTCTTGGAACTAGAGCTGGAAAAGGAGACTTGGACACGAGTTCCAAATACTGATCCCCACGCCGCAGGCTCGCTTTCCAAGCAGACACCCGTTCCGGTGACTGGAGGGAGGGAAGACTCTTCACCAGGCAAGACCAGTACTAATGATCCGGCACAGTCTCTCCGGACACAGCCTGAAGAGGGGCAAGAAGGAGGGCTTCTGGGGTCTCCCCGGCAAGAACGACAAGGCAGTATTGCTTCATCTGACAAGGCCCGAGAAGTAGCATCTGCCCTTGCGCCCAGGAGAGGCAGCCCCCCTGGAAAACTCCCAAGCGGGGAGGGCCTAGACTCTGCGGGGGACGAAGGCGGGGGTGGCAGGCTGAGTCCTGCAGTTAAAGAAACGGTGCTCCCCCTCCACACGGGGGAGTTGGCCCCCACACCCGACTCCGCGATGACCCAGGGACATGAAGAGATGGGTCTGGATGCCCGTGACGGCGGAAAGGATAGCAAGAAGCAGGCATTGTTTTCCAAGCAGCTCTCCGCCGGAGAGGCGGGGGAGGAGGCCCCCAGGCTGGTCCACGGGGACAGAGGGGCCCCCCAGGAGCCAACACCACCAGGGGCTGCTCCCAGGAACGTGATGGACGCGGGAGACTCCCAGGAGGGGGCGGCCACGACCGGACCACGGACCCTGGCAGCTCGCGCTCCCCGCTCCTCCTCCAAGGGGAGCTTCTCCGGGGGTCCCCAGCGGGCGACTGGCTCAGGGAGGGACGGTCCCCTCTTCAGGAGTCAGGGAGACGACACCCGGATGGCATGGAACCAGAGCAAAGCCAGTGACCACGAGGGCCTGCTGTCCGACCCCCTGCGGGGCCTCCAGGCCCCCTTCGAGGCCAAGTCCCCGGGCGCGGCCCACCTGGACCTGACCCTGCCCTCCATCCCCGAGGTCGAGTCTGACGACGAGAGAGGCGATCAGCCCGAAGACGGCGGAGGGGTGGCCCTGGTGGCAGGCCAGGGAGGAGGGGCTCCGTCCTCCAGCGCGGGGCCTGTCCAGCCTGAGACGGACAGGGCATCCAGTGAGGAGGCCAGCAGACCAGAAGAAAGCCTGCGTGACCCCAAGCTGGGAGCACCTGGAGCATCCAGAGCACCGGCCCCGGCTTCTGCAGAACAGACACCTGGTGACGGCGGGGAGGCAGGAACGGCGGGAGATGGGAGCCTGCCTCGGCCTCCGTCCGCTGCCCTGGGGTCCCCTGTGTCCAGCTCTCCCTCCCCTCCCCCGCTTCCTGCCACACGCTCCTTCCCCCGCTCTGCACACTCTGACACCCCCCACACCAATACAGCAGAATCTCAAAAAAAAGCAACAGCCGAGGGCTCCGCGGGTAACGTGGAAAATCCCGGCAAGAGGAAGCCGCTTCTTCAGGCCCGGGTCTCCCCCTCAGAGACACAGCCGAGCGCTGGAAGCAGGCCGGCCAAGCACAGGTGAGAGCCGGTGCGGAGCGGGGGGACCGTCCTCGGGAGTGTAATCCAGCCCCCCCCCGACCCCCCACCCCTGCTTCTGTCTCCGGCGCGAGGGCTTGCTCACGCACAGCTATCCTGGTGGTGCATGTCCTCCCTGGTGTTGAGAGCAGGGCCTTTGGCAGGGCCGTCCCCTGGGCTGGGAGACCCCCAGAGACGACACCTCTGCATCTTGGAGCAGGAATGTCGCAGCAGCGGCCATCCTCAGAGACAGAGTGGGGATTGTCCTGCCCTGTCTGATACGGAGCTCTCCTTGCAGAGAAGCATCGGGAGCCAAGTTCTCTTTCCTGGTCTCAGAGGCCGGCTGAGACTTGAGTGGGAAACGCCAGCCAGGCGGACAGCTTATTCCATAAAAACCCCGCCCGGTGGGAAGCTGGCTTGTCTGTCGGAGCTCTGCAGAGCTCCAGGGCGGAGGCCTGGACCGCAGTTGCCTCCAAGACTAGGAGACTGTCTTCAGGGTTCTCCTGACCTTGCTTAGCGAGGCCGAGGGTCCTGGGAGAAGGTCAGGACACCCATTTGCGAGCGGTGTCTGGGGCTTGACTGGTGCGTGTGCGGCTGCCTCGTGCTGACTGCCTCCCTTCCCGAAGGAGCCTCGGCGTGTGTCAGGGCCGAGGTGTGAGCCCTTGTCTCCAGGCTCCCCTGCTGCCTGCCTCGCTGGCTGCCACCCCCGAGAGAGGTGGTCCCTCAGTGCTGCCGTTCCCGCAGGTCTAAGGGTCCCTTCCCCCTTCTCTTCCAGACTTCATCCCGTGAAGCCCATGAACACGACAGCCCCCAAGGTCACTAACTCCACCTCGGGAACTGCCGCGATCATGAGTGAGAACTTGATCAACGAAGCCGGGATGAAGGTATGTCTTCTCCGGGAGCAGGCAGGTTAGTTAGGGATCTTGAAAACCCGCTGTCTGAGTAACCACGGCAGACAGCTCCCGGGGGCAGTGGGGAACCCCAGGATGGCTCAACCACACGTCTCTGTCTTTGGATGATCTTTGGAAGCCCATGCACTTCCCATGGCATATTCAGCTTTCCCCCTCAGTTATGTATTTGGCTGTTGTTGGATTTGTGTGTGTGTGTGTCTCAGGCAACACGATTGGCAACCAGTACTTCTTTTTAATGAGAAGAAAATGTCACCCCCCCTCCCCCACCCCGGTCATGCCAATCAGACATTCTCCTTTTTCCCATGCGTCTTTTCCTATCTTTTGGCAAGAAGGTAAAATTCTTGTAGTTGTAACTGTGGCACAGATAGACTTTTTTTGTAACTTTATTCTGAAGTGATTTCAAACTTGAAAAAAGTTGCAAGCATAGCACAAAGAACTCCCGTATGCCTTTCACCCCAGTCCCCAGCTTGTGGGCATTTCACCAGATTTGCTTTATCACCCTCACCTTCTCCATTCTCTTTGTATCTACGTACATTTCCACCCCCCTGCCCCGAATTATTTGAGAGTAACTTGCCCACGTCATGCTCCTTTTACTCCTAAATACTTAAGTGTGTAATTCCTAAGAATAAGGACATTTATTGAAATGAAATTTAACAGGCATATCACACTGTTTTCTCATCTGTCGTCTGTATTTCAACGTCACCAGTTTGTCCCAGTGGCCTTTCTTCTTTGTTTTCCAGTCCAGGGTCACTGAGAGACCCTGATGTCTTATCTCGAGGATCTCCTTTATTCTGGAACAGTTCCTTGGCTTTTTTTGTCTTTGGAGACGTTGACCTTTTTCAAGAGTTTAGATCAGTTGTTTGGTAGAATTTTCCCGTTTGGATTTGCCTGACGTCTCCTCCTGGTTTGGGGGAGGCTGGGCCTTCTCAGCAGGTATTAACTATAGGAATAACACGCCCTTCCCAGTGCATCCTGTAAACGGCCCACGGCACCCTGTCCATTTAGCAGGGTGTTAACTTGGTGACTTAGGTTAGGTGGTGTCCACTGGGTTCTTCAGTGCAGAGTAGCTATTTTTTCCCCTTCACAGTTAGCAGGAAATGTGTGAGGAATTCATTTCAGGCCATGCAACCTCCTGCTGTTTATCAACCTCCCGTTCATATGCCTCAGTGTCCTCTGATGAATGTAAGATAGTAGCAGAAGGATGGGTCTCCAGCCCCATCGCCTGGGTAGAAACCCTCTGAAATCCTCTTGTTCACTTAGTTTTTATCATACACACTTGTGCACATTGCTACTTAATTATTCTTTGAAATGGTTATGCTAGTCTATACTTACCCACTCCCCAGTTGGGTAATTGGCTGTTTAGCTTGTTCTCTTTTTTTTTCAACGTGAATAACACTGTAGTCCGTAGTTTCTTGCATAGGACTTTTCCCTTCTCGTAGTTGACTTCCTTAAGCTGAATTTCCAGGAAGACTATTGCTTGATGAGAGGATCTCTGCTCTTTAAAAAGCTTGAGTGGCTACCACTGAAAAAAGCAGCTCCTCCCCCCAAAACCAAAACCACCCCCCACCTCCCACCCCCATGAGTTCTGCTGGGGAGTGTCTCCATCCTGCCCTTTCCGGTTCTAGAACCAGAGGGATTGAGTCCTACCTTGCTACCAACCTCTTCGTCTTTGACTCATTGTCACACGGATGGAGGAGAATGATCTATGAGTGACAGGAGACTGTTAATGAGCCGAGGTGTGTTGTGTTTCAGGCACGTGGAAACACGTGTTTCCTAACCGACCCTGCAGACTACAGTTGGGAGACATAAACTTCATTTCTGTTTTACTGCAGGTGTCTAGAAGTTTCACTCAATCATAGATTGTACAGTCCCAGGGACTCCAGGATGTCAAATAGTTTTTGTGGGTTTTTTTTTTTCCCTCTTTTTTGGGCCAATGTAGGGGCACACCACTCAGCATACAGGATCTAAGTTCCCTGAGCAGGGATCAAACCTGTGCCCCTTGCAGTGGAAGCGTGGACTTTAAACCACTCGACCACCAGGGAAATCCCAGTTTTTGTGTTTTTTAAAAACAAAACTTTTGCTCACATCTCCTTCACTCCTGCAGGTACTTTTAAGTGCGGGGTGATGGCTGATGCCTCTGGCTCTGTTGCATCTTTGCCTCTAGGAACTGGGCTGAAGGTCGTCCACTGAAAGCCAGAGATCTGAGTTCTGGGTCAAGAGGCAGAGTGGTAATAAGGAACTGTTGTTGAAAACCACTTAGCATCTTCCAGCCATCTTGCCTTCTCCTCCCTGTAGTCCGTGCTAATGGGGCATCAGTCTGAAAATGATCAATGGTAGCCAGAACTGTGTACCTATGATCTTTTAGCCCGAGCCTAAAGATGGACTGGCTGTAACTTCACCAGCCCAGCTCGGCTGGCTTCTTTGGTTGTGTTAGAAGAAGCAGCACTTGTCTTCCTGGCATGGATGATATTTACCAGGAAATTGGGCAAAAGAATAACATGAAAGGGACGATAACGAAACCCAGGGTCATCTTGCAGCTCCCCACCCCTCTTCCTTTAACTGTGGAATGCAGCTTGGCTCCAAAGAGAAACAAACACCCAGCTTTCGGGAAGTCAGCAAGACCCTTGGTCCCCTCTGTTTACTGGTCCAGGCTCAGTTAATCAGGGGCTTATCTCCAGGCCCCAACTGATAGTAACTTGCCTTGAAACAAAGGCAACCGTTACTTATGTTGCTCATGATCTGTAAGCCCCAGTGCTGCCCCTCTGCCTGGCTGTCACAGAGCTGTTGGTCCCGGACCAGACCTAGTAACTCCTCTGAGTAAATAAGCAAAGGTTCCTGGAGACTGCCATTGGCTGGCCATAGAATAGACGCTTTGTACTAAGGCATAAACAGTACTTATAAAAATAACTACTCTTTGGAATGTTGCAAAGTGAGAGAGAGGTTAGGGAAAGAAATTGCATGGCTAAAGTTATGGAAACCTAGCTGAATCATGACTATAATGGCTTTTTTTTCTTTTTTGGTTATTGTGTTAGGGCCACCATCTTTTGTAGATGATTAATAACTAGGAATGTATTATTTGTTCAGGTGGCTTCCACACTTCCATTTAAAAATAGCACAGCCAACTGGAGCCAAAAAGTCTTCTGTCAAATTCTATGGGAAAAGTGGAAGACCAATGTGAATATACGTCATTATTGGTAAAACGATGGGGGAAAAGTCCAATGTATTTTTTTAGTCGTCACATAAATAGGAATTTCTGATGGCTTCAAAGTCCTGCATCGTTTCTTCTTCAGATTATAGAGTCCAAATGGAAGAGCGGTTTGACAGTTTGTAGGAGGTACCGCTAGTCTTCCCTGTTGCCTTAGATGGAGAAGAGTCTGCCTGCAGTGTGGGAGAACTGGGTTTGACCCTTGGATCAGGAAGATCCCTTGGAGAAGGGAATGGCAACCCACTCCAATATTCTTGCCTGGAAAATCCCATGGACTGAAGAGCCTGGTGGGTTATAGTCTATGGGGTCACAAAGAGTCGGACACGACTAAGCGACTAACACTCAGGAGGTAACTTTAGTATGCATGCCATTTCAGTTCTATGCCTGGGTCTTAAGGAAATGTTTAGGGATATGACCAAAGATTTGTGTTCACACCTTTAAATATGTTCTTATATAATTGTGAAAACTGAAACCAACTTAAATGACCAGCAACAGAGAGATGGTTAAAATACAATTAAGTTTAAAACATCCATTTAAAAAGCAATTTTTCTAAAATTTAATGATGGGAAAATGCTCACAAAATACCCAATTTTCAAAAGCCATAAAACTTGATTCTGTATGAGGCTAAAGTTATCACAAAGAACGCCCGTTACCAATAAGAGACCCAAGTGTTAGGTGTTGGAGTTATGGGTAATAACTTTTTCCCCTCTTCTGGATGTGAGATTTTCTTTTTTTTTTCTTTTCATTTATTTTTATTAGTTGGAAGCTAATTACTTTACAATATTGTAGTGGTTTTTGCCATACATTGACATGATTTTCTATGATAAATAAATTATTCCTTTTACAGTTCAAAACATGATCCTGTTATTGTGGGCAAAATTAATTTTTTAAAAAATTATTTATTTTTTAATTGAAGAATAATTGCTTTACACAACTTGGTTGTTTTCTGTGAAACATGAACAGGCAATTAATTCATCTCCAGAGTCTGGGTCAGAGGTTACCACTCCATCTTTGAAGCTTGCCCCCCTCACCCAGGCAGCCACAGTCTCTGGTTTGTCCAGCTCCTGGAGCATGCCCTGTCCCCCTGGACCCTGACGCCCTGCACCAGGTGAAGCCCCAGGTGTGTCAGACCCTGTGGGGGCTTGGCGCCTCCTCTTGAGGAGCACTCTCCCTCCAGGTGTCCGCCTCTGCTTCTTATCTCCCAGACGCTCTGGCGAATGTCTTCTGTAATCAATATTTTTTTTTTAAGAGGAGGTTATCTATTTATTTTCGGCTGCCCTGGGTCTCCGTTGCTGCCCGAGGGCTCTCTAGTTGCAGCGAGCAGGGGCTGCTCTTCTTGTGGTGCCTGTGCTCCTATTAGAGAAGCCCGCGGCCGTGTGGGCTTCGGTGGTCGTGCCTGGCGGGGCCTAGACCACGGGCTCAGCAGTTGTGGTGTGCAGGTTCAGTTGCTCCACAGCACGTGGGATCTTCCCCGACCAGGGGTGGAACCTGTGTCTCCTGCATTGGCAGGCGGATTCCTATCCGCGGCGCCACCAGGGAAGTCCTGTAATCAATATTGTTGAACAGATAAACAATGGCAGAGGTATAATCTAAAACTCCTTGAGGATATATTTTTGCTATTGTTTTTACAAAGACTGCTTGTTTTCTTGGTAGGATGTGTAAACAGACGTGCCACTTTGAAAAAAAAAACTTGTGATCAAATAAACGTAACATAAAATTTACCCCCTCAACTGTTTTTAAGTGTCCATTTCAGCAGTGTTAAGGACATTCATGTTGTTGCACAACCAATCTCCAGAGTTCTTTCCCAGACATGCAACTTTTTTGAAAGGGTTGTTTTGAAAGTCACAAATAGGATGATGGAGGTCCAGAGTGGGGAACCCTGTGAGTGTCTGCCTTCAACAAGCTAAAAAGAAAAAAAGATTAAAACAGAGAAACAGTTTTTGACAAGTGGTCCAGCATCTCAGGGGCTTCCCTGGTGGCTCAGTGGTAAAGAACCCACGTGCAATGAAGAAGACATGAGTTCGATCCCTGGGTCAGAAAGATCCCCTGGAGGAGGGAATGGCAACCCGCTCCAGTATTCTTGCCTGGGAAATTCCATGGACAGAACAGCCTGATGGGCTACAGTCCATGGGGTCGCAAAAGAGTAGGACGCGACTTTGCCGCTAAACAACAACCACCAGCATCTCACCTTTTTCTAGGCCTCCTGTGTGAAGTTAAACCTGCTGCGTGTGTGGAAGTCTCAGGAGTGTTTCTAAGTCAGTAGCCATCATTGTGCTGTTCCTTGTAGCCAGGACAAGAGGGACAAAATTTCTCTACCGCTGTGCCGGCAGTTTGCATCACTGGACCGAACAGGGCCATCTCTCGTGTTGTGTCATGGTTCACCTGCTCCTGACGTGACTGCTTCTTGGAGCAGGTGGTTCTAGGCCTTCCTCAGTGAAACTCACCACCCTCCCGGTGCTGAAGCCATGATTACCTCAGAACTCTGCGGGCAAAACCGTCTTGAGGTTGCCCCATGACCTTGTTTCTTTCAACTTTCGAACCTGAGTCACAGTCTTCAGGAAAAGTCAGTTCGGGTATTTTTTTTTCCCCATCTCTCTGGAGACTGGGTACAACGTGTTAGTTTACATAACGCTTATCTTGTGTCTCGGGCCTGAGCGGTTTGCAGTCAGACTCCAGGCCTCCCAGGTGATGATCGTAATCCCTGGGGCTCCTGGTCTGGTCAGGAGGGGGCAGCCGCAGCCACGGGACCCCGACGGGGCCCCTCCGATGGCTGTGTGGTGGCCCTTGGCTTTGACTCTGCGTAGGTTTTGAGAATGAGATAACTTAGACTGGGGTCTCCCAGGCCGTCCTCCTAATCGCCAGGACTCCTGAGCGTCGTGGAGGCAGTAGCAGACCGTCTGGGATAAACGTCCACGTATTGTACTGGGAGGAGAGTGTTGCGTACTGCGTCGTCTGCCGCTAGCGTTTCTTCATGGTCCCCTCGGCCTGGGGCTCAGGTCCGCTTGGATACCTGGTTGTGCCAGTTCTGGTGTTTGCAGGCCTCCAGTGGTGACGTCTCTAAACCCCAGGCCTAGAGGCCAGTCCAGGGGTCTGCAGCCTGTGAGTCAAGTATGATTTTCACACTTTCAATCGGTCATTCCCCAGCGGTCCCATGGTTAGGGCTCTGCACCTTCACCGTTGAGGGCCCAGGTTCAATCCCTGGGTGGGGAAATAAGATCCCACCAACCTCAGTTCAGTCGCTCAGTCGTGTCCGACTCTTTGCGACGCCATGGACTGCAGCATGCCAGGCCTCCCTGTCCATCACCAGCTCCCGGAGTTTACCCAAACTCATGTCCATTGAGTCAGTGATGCCATCCAGCCATCTCATCCTCTGTTGTCCCCTTCTCTTCCTGCCTTCAATCTTTCCCAGCATCAGGGTCTTTTCAAATGAGTCAGCTCTTCGCATCAGGTGGCCAAAGTATTGGAGTTTCAGCTTCAGCATCAGTCCTTCCAATGAGTATTCAGGACTGATTTCCTTTAGGATGGACTTGTTGGATCTTCTTGTAGTCCAAGGGACTCTCAAGAGTCTTCTCCAACACCACAGTTCAAAGGCATCAATTCTTTGGCGCTCAGCTTTCTTTATAGTCCAACTCTTACATCCATCCATGACTACTGGAAAAACCATAGCTTTGACTAGATGGACTTTTGTTGGCAAAGTATTGTCTCTGCTTTTTAACATGCTGTCTAGGTTGCTCATAGCTTTTCTTCCAAGGAGCAAGCATCTTTTAATTTCATGGCTGCAGTCACCATCTGCAGTGATTTTGGAGCCCAAGAAAATAAAGTCTGTCACTGTTTCCATTGTTTCCCCATCTATTTGCTGTGAAGTGATGGGACTGGATGCCATGATCTTAGTTTTCTGAGTGTTGAGTTTTAAGCCAACTTTTTCACTCTCCTCTTTCACTTTCTTCAAGAGGTTCTTTAGTTCTTCTTCACTTTCTGCCATAAGGGTAGTGTCATCTGCATGTCTGAGGTTATTGATATTTCTCCCGGCAATCTTGATTCCAGCTTGTGCTTCATCCAGCCCAGCATTTCTCATGATGTACTCTGCAAATAAGTGAAAATAAGTTAAATATAACAACCTCATGGTAGGGCCAACAGGGAGAAAAAGAAAGAAAGAAAAGGTCTTGAAACAAAAAACCAAACGACAAAGATGAACGTGCAGCAAAGACCATCTGTGGCCTGGGCAGCCTGAGACACTGACTCTCTGGCCCTTTACAGAAAGCTTCATCTGTCATAGGTTTCCACTGAAATTGCAAATGAATTCCTAGGAGACTCAGATCATAGACTCAATCACTAAAAGCTACCTCTTCTATATTTCTTTTACTTATTTACTTATAAACAGTTATTTGTTCATAAATATTTATTTATTTGGCTACGCCAGGTTTTAGCTGTGCCACACAGGATCTTTAGTTGTGGCATGTGAACTCATTTACAGCATGTGGGATCTAGTTCCCTGGTTAAGGACCGAACTTGGGTCCCCTGCATTGGGAGTGTGGAGTCTTAGCTACTGGACCACCAAGGGAGTCCCTGTATTTCTCTGAGATGTTTGACCTCTTGGTTGACTTTGTCAATTTTCTTGTCCCCCACCAAAGAAATACAAGCCCTCGGACCCCGCGTTTGCCTACGCGCAGCTGACCCACGACGAGCTCATTCAGCTGGTCCTCAAACAGAAGGAAACGATCAGCAAGAAGGAATGTCAGGTGCGCCAACTGGAAGACTACATCGACAACCTGCTGGTCAGGGTCATGGAGGAGACACCGAACATCCTCCGGGTTCCCTCTCAGGTCGGCAAAAAAGCAGGAAAGATGTGAGCCGCCGGCCTGCAGCATCGAGACTCTGCCGTGAGTCTGTCGACACTAGCTCCCGAGGCCGAGGACTGGCTGTGCCCGAGAGGCGGGCACAGATTGCCATCTCCCTCCCAGGTTATCTGGCAGGAGGCCCTCCCACCCACGGAAGCCAGGTCAATGACTGCAACCAATCTTTCTACTCTCCATTCCCAGGGTTTTATTTTTAAATGCCACTGTGCCTTTAACCACGTTGTAAATATTTTATGCCCCGACCGGAGACATGGTCATAAGATCTGATCCTGGCCCAGAGGTTCAGATGGCGCTGGGGGGGTATTAATTAATGTATCTTAAACATTGGGGTTTTCTTTCTTTTACTTTGAGATTTTTAAAGTACGTCTCCCTGCCCCCCCGCCGCCCCCAGTCTTTAAAGCTTGGAGTGAGATGACAAGGACCAGGCGATCGGGGCTGTGTTGCACATACCTTCTTGGCATTTGAGTAGCTCAGGCGTGGCGTTTTGGCTGCAGATGCTAAATTTTTGATACCGTGTAAACCTACTTGACTCCTCGGACTTGGTCATTTGTTTCGACTGGAGCAGAGGAGTGCAGAGTGTGCCTTTGAGATTTATAACAAGCCACCTTTTCCAGACATCAGCCTCCACACCACAGTAGCCTTTAAAATATGTTCTTTATCAACGGAGAGGGCCTGTCTATGGAGGTACGGGAAGCAGACCAGGGGACTTAGAGTCACTTTGCCCTCGAGGGGGTTTGTCAGAGCCCCTCCTTTGGTGATCGCAGGCTCCCTGTGACTGGAGTGGCCGAGACAGTGCCTTGATTATCGATCGAGTGCTCCAGGCACTTGCTAAAATGGTTCTACCAGGTGTGGAGCAATGGCAGGGGGTCTGTTGGCCCTCTCCCCTCATGCCTTCGCTTGGCTCCCTGGTTTCCTTGGCAGCTCTTCCTGGCATTTTCCCCCCTTGGTATAACATTGTGAAGAGCAAGATGATACCTATTTTTATAGATGGCTGTGTTTTTAAAACTAGATTAACACACATTTTTTAAAAAACTAGGACCCCTTCTTAACTAACAGCATCAGTTCAGATTTGTTGGGGCTTCCCTGGTGGCTCAGTGGTAAAGAATCCTCCTGCCAATGCAGGAGATGGGGGTTTAATCCCTGGGTTGGGAAGATCCCCTGGAGAAGGAAATGGCAACCCACTCCAGTGTTCTTGCCTAGAGAATCCCGTGGACAGAGGAGGCTGATGAGCTACAGTCCACGGGGTCGCAAAGAGTCGGACATGACTTAGCGACTAAACAACTCAGACTCTCCAGGTAATTTCATTGTTAGTAACCCGATATTAGAATGTTTTCTATATTACTCTTTTTTTCTTTTGTTCCAGTTGAGACAGAATCTCATCAAATCCCGACATCTCTCCTCGGGAGAGAATGTCATAGGCCAAGGGCGTGGGCAGGGCTTGAGGAGAGAGCAGTTATTAAACGGAACTCTCTCTGTGTTCATTCTTGTTGTATTGAAGTTAAGAAGCAAGATGACCGGCAGTGGGATTCCTTCTCAGGATCACGTTTGCTGCCACATTAGTTAATATCAGAGCACTTTAATCTGAAGGATGATACTGTAACTTGATTGAACTAATTCACTTTTAATTATCGATAGCTGTTTTATTTAATACCCTCCTACATACTGGGGACCACTGTAAACCTCTCAGACGACTTGTTATTTTTGTAGCGTTACGAGATTTATTTACATCCCTATAAAGAGAACTGGATGTTCGCTTGAACTCCGGAGATACATGTGTATATATTTGTTATGCAATGTTTTTTTACTTGATATCAGTGTACTTGGACTGTGATAAACCCTCGTGCACTGGGTGGCGAGGGCTCTGAGTGGTTTCTCCCGGGAAGAGCTCACATGGAGACCCGAGTTCTTCCCGAGAACTTTTCATTGTGGGAGATCTGCTGCTAGGACCTCGGGGATGGGACCCGGTCCGTGTTTAAGAGAGCAAATTCCTCTGCTCTGAGATGCCACTAGAGAACTCTGGAGAATGAAGGACAATCAACTTCAAGAGTGTCTGGTTTCTACCAACTGCTGGAAAAAAAATTCCACGGGTAGCATTCCCGCACCGCTCAAGGACGCCGGTTAACACCTGTCCTTGAGGATTCTACTGTGAGGGAGAACTCAGTTGGGAAAGCTGGAGCCAGCTCTGAGCTGTTCACAGGGGCAGGTGGACTGGAGGGCTGGAGCTCCTGCAGCCGGTGTGGGTCTGAGGGCTTACACCCAGCTGTCTAGGTGTAAACCAGGAGAGTCTGGTTTAGCCTCTGGCTGCTGAGAATGCTTACTGAACTGATGGGTCCTGGGAGGAGGCCACGCCCTGCAGAAGCAGGAGCAGCTCTTTCTTGGCCCTCCCTGGCTGCCCCCCTGCCCCCAGAAGACCAGTAAGTACTTCAGAGAAGCATCCAATAAAATACCAAACAGTGTGTGATGACCTTCCACTGGAGGTCAGCATCTGGGAAAAAAAAAGTCAATCCTTTGCCCAGTTGTTTCATATCATCTCTGTCGTTGGGCTTTGACATATGTCCTGCCCACCCCTTTTATTTCCTGTGGGTCAGCCTCCCCAGGTAGCAGAAAGGAAGAGCAAGAAAGTCTGCCCTTCACCACATGAACAGCCATTGACCAGGAGTGGAGAGTGTGTGGGCAGTGAGTGGCACATGTGTGTGGTTTCCAGCTCTGCTGACGGCGGGGGTTCAGAAGGGCACAGAGTGGGGAGGGTCCATGACCCTCAGCCACCTGCCAGATTGAAGGGCAGAGGCAACTTGATGTAAAATTAGGCACAATTTTCACCCCCCGTGCCCCTTCTCTTTAAGACCCATTCACTGACGAACGGTTCCTCCAGGCTGAAGGATCTGTTGCCTTCGGGGGCGTGGAGAGCTTAACCTCCAATTTCTACACCAATCTCAACCCTGTGGTTTCCTCCGTAGCTGTTGTGTGAGCTACTGACGTGACCTCTTCCTCCCTCTGATTGAAAGCTCACCACCCAGCTTTTCTGAATTATAGAATTCTTATCTCCTGCCTTGTTACTTTGGGAATTTTGAATTTCTTTGCTTTTGTTTTTGAGAAGTAACCTAAAAATTTCCTACAACACTAAATAAAATGGTCCTGGTACTACCTTTCAAAGTTTTGTGTCTGTGGTTTTTTGTATGGGTGCGATAAGAATTTCTGGCTTCCTGCAGAATCTCTCTTAGGGGGTGACCAGTGGGTCACCCATGGGTCTCTCACCTGGGTTCCTGCTGCTGCCAGTCTATCTGGTACCCAAGGGCCCCAGCGCCCTTTCTCCTGCGGGTGTTGGGACATCTGTGATGACCTCCCTATGACACACCCCATATTTTGGGCTGGAGGGAACTCTGGCGTTTATCAGCTGAACATCGTTTGAGTTTCCTGTCCCTAGTGATACAAGCTGCTACCTTTTCCTTAAGCTGAGCAGATGAACAAGGCCACTTTCTTGATTCACCTCCGCCCTGTGCCACCTCCCCTCCCACCACACACACACCTCTTCACCCCCGCCCCACTGATTTCCCAGAGAGCGAAATCCTGACTTTTGGACTTTTCACCCTGCATTCAGGACTACCCAGATCTAGGAGCCAGGTCTCTGGTTCCACAAACATAGCTCATTCATTTCTGAGTAGAAGGGATCAGGGCTGTAAAAGACTCCCCCTGAGCTCATTCTACTAATCTCCAACCCTTCCCCGAAGAAGTGAGAGGTCTGCCTGCCTCAACCAAGGGTCCCAAGCTCTCCGAACGGAGGAGATGCTCTTAGGGATGACAGTCACATTGTAGATGGACAGACGCAGGTGGGCCCAGGTAGCTCCTGGGTGGGGCGGGGGAAGCTTCCCGAGGGCCTGCCTGGTTTGGGTGGAGGGGTCTGGTTGCCCAAGCAGATGTGGATGGTGGAACCGCTGTGTGAAATGATACAAAGGTGGTTTCTCTTAAAACATACAACCTTCCAGGTTTGGTCCAAACAACCAAAAAGCTCTCAGGAAAGGGTCTCCAAGGAAGGAGTGTTTGTACAAATGACCCCAACTCTCCCCTGAGATTCATCTTCCTTGCTTTTGGGGGGGCACCCTGCCCACCTCCCCATGGAACACTTCACAGGGTACCATTCCCACTCTGACCACAGCCAAAGCATCAGCACCATGCACATTCTCATTCCTCAGACCCTGCCTCCGAGCCGACTGGGGGTGCCATCTTTTGGACTCTGCAGTCTCCCCATCCTGAGAAGGTTGGAGCAATCTCTCTGAATTCGAGTTCAAAGCTCTCAGCTGAGCTCTGTGGGGCCAGAGGCTCCCAAAGCCACAAAATCCGAGGGAAGATGTCCTCATGTGGCCTTGTGATGTTTGACTATCTTACACACAGCTGTATCCTGAGCCCTAGAAACAGTCATCCTGGTGAAACCGGCAGGCTCTCAGAACTGAGAGGAAGCTGCTCAGTCCGTGCACATCAAGTGCACATGAAGTGCACATCACTTCAGGCTGAAACTTAACCACAAAATGAAGGCCTGTTTATTGAGTTCCTGCATTTCACTCAGCACTGCTTCCAGTTCTCATCCAGGTAGATAATATCTCCATTATGCAGATGAGAAAACGGAGACTTTCAGAGGCGTCAGAACTAGAGTTTGCCTGGGGACCCACAGCAGGTAGTTAAGAAAGGATTTGAACTCCTCACCTATCCCACCTGGGGTTCTAGAACAGGTGTCAAACTATGGCCTCACTCTTGTTCATGTGGCCCTCAAACCAAGGGTGATTTTTCCTGTTAGTTCTCTGGGAGTCCAGGGGAAGGACACTGTACTTTCACTGCCATGGTCCTGGGTTCAATCCCTCTTCAAGGAACTAAGATCCCATAAGCCATTCAGTGCAGCCAAAAAAAAAAAAAAAAAAAAAAACCCACCAAAAAACAGTACAACTCCAACAACAACAAAAAACAAGGATGATTTTTCCTTTTTTCTTTTTTTAATGTGGGATGAACAAGTCTAGAGATCAAATGGCCAGAGTGACGACGGTAGTCAACAGCATTGTTCTGAATACTGGAGATTTTTACATTTCTTGAGATGGTTTTTGCAAAAGCAGAAATCACTGCAAGGTAATTACGTTAGATAAAAGTGGTATTTTAAACCTTTGAAATAAATGGATGTAATTTTATCTTGGTACAGCTTTTCACTTGTTTAGTTTTTAAATGTTAGTATAATCTAAATAAATTTAATATAAAATGTTGCCAAATTCAATGTAGAAAGAATGTGACAAAACACCTTGGGTAGTTCTGTTTGTGTTTTTGCATATTGTAAAAGCAGTGTCACAGCTAAAAATAAATTGTTTCTAAAGGTAAATTATTGTGGTTTAGTTGCTAGTTTGTACTGAGAGTTGACCTCTCCCTGTGCAGTTTTTTGTTCTAAACTTGTATAAATAACAATTGTGTAACGTGTCTCCCTTCTACCTTGTAACAGTTGCTTAGCCTACATTATAAATAAAGAACCACTAGAAAAACAAAACAAAACAAAATAACAGTAATACATGACGTTCAAATTTGATTGTCTACACAATTTTCTTGGGATACAGCCGAGTTCATTGTCTGTGTCTGTGTAATTGTCTACGGCTGCGTCCATGCTGCAAGAGCAGACTTGAGCGATTAAAATAAAAACTTTCGCATCCACCGAACCTAAATATTTGCTTTCAGGCCCTATTCAGAAAACGTCTTTGGACATCCAGTCTAGGATTACTTTGGGTGCCAAGGAGATAATATTCTGAGTGACCTGGAATACCGGAGGATGGGAGCAGGCAGGGAAAGTGGAGCCCACGTGACTCAAGCCCACTCAAGACAAGGCCATATAAGCCACGGCTCCCGGGGAGGGAAGTTCTGGCTGTCTTTGAGCTCTAGGCCTGTGGCCAGCTCCTCAGAGTTTCCAGGTGCCTTTGTTCCTGGGAGATCAAGAAACCCAACACAGTGATCCTCAGTCAGGGGGAGGGAGAGAATAAACAACAGGAAAGGGGAAAGTGAATATGAGCGAGGGCCCTGGTCATGCCCTGGACTGAGGTCATGTCACCACGGTTGTCAGAGGAGAATCAGCATCTGCTGAAAAGCTGCGGTGATGGGGACCCAGTCAGAAAAGCTCCAAGGCCCAGGGTGGCGAGGAGAGTGGGTCCTCCAGGCTCAGAGTGAAACTGGGAGAGAGTCATCTGAGCTGGAAGGAGCCCAGGGTGAGGCCTTGAGAGAAGCCCAACCCCACCTCCCCCCAGTTACTCACTCCAGATTAGGAATGATCCTGCCTCTGAGGAATTCCATCTATGCGTGGCCTCTGACCGGCCTACCCAGGACGGATGTCCACAGGAGCTGGACAGCCTTCTGGTGTAACCGGTGCTCCTGGGACTCAGGGATGAGATGGCCAGATCATGCCCAGGGAGACTCGTAACCAAGTCAGACAGGCAGAGCACTGACGAATACACACATATAACAAGAGATGACTGGCTAGGGGCCTTCTGTGAGGACACCAGTGCCTTCCTTTCCGGCCTCCTTTCTAGAAAGAACTCTGGCCTCCAGGTCAGTATTTCACATCTGGATCACGTCTGAGGCATCCTTTCCAGTGGCCTTCCCTCCTCAGTAGCTTTCTGCTCTAATCCAGCCCGTCTGGACACTCAGCATTCCAAAAGCTGATGTGCCAAGTACCCGTGGGCTCTGGCTTTAGGGACAGGAACATGGCGCCAGCTTCACAGGCCTGGGGAGGTGCTGGGGAGAGGGCTTTGAGAAGCATCTGTTAAACAGATCATCACCAAGGACGCTTAATTCTTAACCCGGGTCGCCTGCATTGCAGGCAGAGTCTTTACTGAGCCACCAGGAAAGCCCTAAATCTTAGTAGAGTTTGTATCAGAAGGAAAGGCACCAAAGAAGATGTGTATGTCCTGATTCCTCAGAGGAAGACAAATGAATTTCCTAAATAAATGGTTTTATTCGTGAGAACGTGAACCCTAGACTTGCATGTCTTAGTAGAGCGCGCCATCTTCTGGCTTGGATCCTGCCTACCTCCCAGCCTGTTTGCTTCTGAGAGTGAGGCTTTCTGACGCCATCACACACTTGTGGCTGGAAGAGAATTACCCCTCCACCCCTGGAGTTGCTAGCTGTGTGTGTGCTCAATCATGTCTGACTCTTTGGGACCCCATGGACTATAGTCTGCCAGGTGCCTCTGTCCATAGGATGTTCCAGGCAAAAATACTGGAGTGGGTTGCCATTTCCTCCTCCAGGGGATCTTTCTGATCCAGGGATTGAACTTGAGTCTCCTGTGTCTCTCACATTGCAGGCAGATTCTTTACCACTGTGCCACTGGGAAGCCCCAGAGTTGCTGGATCATAAAACTGCTCTTCTACTTTACTATGAAAACTGTCAGGGAAAGCAGAATTTCAAGGCTTCTGTCATGGGAAGATGACTCTGTAGTGAAGTCCCACTTCAAAAAAAGAAAAAATGCAGTTAGGTTCATGATCTGCACAAAATTGGGATGAGCGGCATCTCTATTGGAATGTAAAGACATACTTCCAGGGCCAGTTATGTTCCTTTTAGGGACCTGTTTACCCTCCCAGTAAGGATGTCGATTACACTGTCTGAAATTAACATCTAAAATCTGCTAATGCCAGAGCCTGCCTGAAATTCTCCAAGATCAAACTGAGAAGCAGAAATTCCCCACATACTTTCAGCACTGGCTATGATAACTCCCATCTGTTTTCTTGGAGTCAGAGGGGCTGGCCACGGTTCTTTGTAATTTTTTTTTTTTTTGGTCCTTTGTAATTTTAACTCAATTGTCTTATTTTTCAGACACAATTGATTCTAAAACTTTCAAGTGTTAAAAAACATTTATTTATTTATGTATTTATGCCACACCACACGGCTTGTGGAATTTTAGTTCCCTTGAAAGAGGAAACAGACAGAACAGGCTCCATCTTAAAGCCAGGACTCCAGCTTGGGCCGGACTGTGGACTTTGAGCTATATGCCCCTATATATATTTATGGGAACGACATACCAACTGGAAAACCAGGCTCCCTGGATGGAAGAGCACCAGGGCTCATACCTAGACTCTCTGTTGCCTAAAAGAATACGCTAATTATCTGTGTAACTGAATAGAATCATACATTCTATTATGCTTATTGAGATATGACCACAGGCCTATTGATAATTGTCCACTGTTAACTACCTAGGCTTAAGGCATATGAATCACGGGTTAACTTTGATTGTATCTTTCTTTTCCTTTGTTCAGTCTAGTTTCAGGGAATTTGGGGAGGTGGGTTTGGGCATGTACACTTAGGGTATATAAGGTTTTCAGAAAAACTGGTCAGGGTCCTTGGCTAAGAGGAGACTTGGCCTTGGGCCCATCAGTGTAATAAACTGCACTCCACTATCTGCATTGTCCTTCTGAATGAGTTTGTTTTCCAGAATGTGTGGCTACAACACCCTGGCTAGAGACTGAACCTGGGCCCCCAGCAGTGAAGGCATAGGGTCCTAACTACTGGGCTACCAGGGAATTCCTGAAAACCTTTATTCTTGATGAGTGCAATCGGGATTTACTTATGAGAAAACACACACTCTTTGCTGACATTTAAGTTATATTCAAATATGACATACAAAATCTCATTTGTGAGCTTGGTTTCTGGAACATTACTAGAGGCGCACTTTTGCTCAATTCTTTGATCTATACTATACCACGCCAGGAACTTCGGAGCAAGAATCTTGGAGCATCCTAAAGCTTAAGGTTTTAAAAACATCTCAATCTGCTTAAACTCTTCAGACTGCCAAGGGCCTCACCAACCCTCATATTCTTTCGCTCCAACTCCCTTAGATATTTTTTACCTACTCTCTGGAAGCATCCCAGGTTGTCACTCTGGATTTTAATTCAACTCCCTCATCCTACAGGGGAGAAAAACAAACTGCAAAGAGAGGAAACAACTTAATTGAAGGGAAGCTGCTCTGGGAAGAACACAATTTTCTGCTCTCTCAATACACTACCTCCCTATTAGGCCACAAATTTTGTACTATGGCCAGAATCAACATTTGTTTCCAAAGAGAAAAGGAGAATCTGCGATACCCTTGGCTTTTTAGAAGGAAGAGTTTTTTGTGGCTGGCAACAATTTTTCGTTTGTTACGCGCGTCCACGGCGGTAGAAAGCTCACTCAAGGGTAACCCCGAGCCTAGACAGCCAACCTCAAACGAAGTACAAATCACGGGGAATCCGAAGATACAGTCTTGTCAGGAACCTCCTTTCCTAGATCACGTTTCTACCCGAGTCCGCAGAGGATGGACCGGAAGCCTCAGAGGAGGTACCTACAGTACGGCTGCTACGCTAGCCGGGAGAGGAAGGTGCAACCCTATAAGACTCCGCTCCTACTTCCTGTTTCGGCACAGTTGCTGTTGTGGGCGGTAGGGGCGGTTAGCAGCCTAGGCTCTGGACCGCTGGTGCGATGCCGGGTAGAGGCCGCTGTCCCGATTGTGGCTCCGCTGAGCTCGTGGAAGACTCGCACTATTCCCAGAACCAGCTCGTGTGCTCCGACTGCGGCTGCGTGGTCACCGAGGGCGTTCTTACGACCACCTTCAGCGACGAGGGCAACCTCCGAGGTACCTGTGAGGGCTTTTCCAGGGCCTTGGATACAGCCTGGGGCGATGGAGGGATTGACGTCAGATGCTTCTTATCTCTTGCCCTCTCCCAGTCAGGAGCACACTTAGATATGGGAGAAAACAGGGAAAGTGAACGAGTGAACTGCAGGTCAGGGGCTGCCATTATGTTTTCTTAGCAGCATATCTGTTACATGTAGATGTTAACGTTGAATAAATGAAACAGAAAAAAAAAAAGTTCCACTCAATTTACCTAGTCTGCCTATTTGGAAGCATTATATAAAGAGGTCAGTGCTGTGCGAATGCGGGAGATACTACTACCCTGAAGCAGTTTGGAAAACTAATCAGCAAAAACTTTTTTCTTTTTTTCATTTGTGTTCCAAGTCCCTGACCAGTGCAGCCCTCAAAATCTACAGGCAGGGGAAAAAAAAAAAATCTACAGGCAGGAAAATTGCCTGAATTGAATGTATGGGAGGGGTGGCTGGAAATTTAGAACTGTTTTAGTGTTAGTCCTAATCTTCAGCCTTCTGTGTATTTGGTATTGCTTGTGGTCATAGAAAACCAGATGGACCTTTTACCTGCAAAGATGAACACCTTCTGTGAGACAGGGAGTTGGGTACCTGATGATTCGGATTCTGCTCCCTGGTTTTGTGTGGTGAGAGGGCAGGGGTCCGTGAATAGAGACTAAACAAGCTGTTGTCCATTATCTTACAGAAGTAACATATTCTCGAAGCACTGGGGAGAATGAACAAGTTAGTCGAAGCCAGCAACGAGGTGAGAATCAACGTTTTATGACACAGTGGCTTTAAATAAAATTCTCCTTATGGTCCAACTCGTCTGCTTGTCTTTTCTGTTTTCAGCATTACTGTGTAAAGGTAGAGAAGAAGAGAATGATAATTAGAAATAAAGGATGGAGGTGGTTCTAAGAGAGGTAGCAATTAGGTGGAAGGTTTAAGTCTTCTTGGGTATGTTTGAGGTAGATTTGAGGAACCCAGGTCAAAGCTTGGTCACAAATCAAACCAAGCTGCAAAAGATGAGGCGCTAAAGTATTGACTGCTTTCCACAAAAGTCTTTGTGCTTTTCAAATGACTTTACCAAGTGTCACTCTTATCATTGTAGAAAGATCCATTATTTGTGCATGTGGTATCCAAGGCGAGTTTTTATTTTTCCTCTCTGTTTGCTATGACTAGACCTTCCAAAGCTATGTTGAATAAAAGTGACAAACGTGGGCATTTTTGTCTTGTTCTTAATCTTATAGGAAATGCTTTCAGCTTTTCACCATTGAGGATGATGCTAGCGTGAGTTTGTCATATATGACCTTTATTATGTGTTGTCTCCTCTAGACCCACATTCTGGAGAGATTTTTTTTTTTTAATCGTAAATGGATGTTGCATTTTATCAAAAGCTTTTTGTGCATCTATTGAAATGATCATATGGTTTTTATTCTTCAGTTTGTTCATGTGATGTATCACACTGATTGAGTTAGGGATATTGAAAAATCTTTGCATCCCTGGGAAAAATCCCACTTGATCAAGCTGTCTGATCCTGTTAACGTAATGTTGGGAACCCCTCTAACTCCTGCCGCGGGTTTTCCTAGGTCTTCGCCGAGTGAGAGACCTCTGTCGAGTGCTGCAGCTGCCACCAACATTTGAGGACATGGCAATTGCCTACTACCAGCAGGCGTACCAGCATGCTGGCATCCGCACGGCCAGGCTGCAGAAGAAGGAGGTGCTGGTTGGTTGCTGTGTCTTAATCACCTGCCGGCAGCGAAACTGGCCCCTGACCATGGGGACCATCTGCACCCTGCTGTATGCAGATTTGGATGTGTTTTCTGGAACCTATATGCAGATAGTGAAGCTCCTGGGGCTGGACGTGCCATCTCTGTGCTTGGTGGACCTGGTGAAGACCTACTGTAGCAGGTACGTGCCTGGTGGGAGACGCGGGGGTGGGATGGGTGTAGACCTGAATCCTTTTAACTCCGGTTGTCTCTTTTTGACCAAAGTCCATTCTACGAGGATGTGGAGAAAAAAATCTTTTCTCCTTCTCCTGTGCCTGGCACTAGTCGGGTGAATCCCGTTTTACGTTTCTAGAATGTTGTGTCATTTTCAGACCCCTTTGCTGTTCAGCAGCCTGATGCTGTAGGAAGGTTAAGTATCAGCTTTGGCAGGGGGCTTCTGGGTTCTACCACTGAGGCCTGCTTGACTAAATGCCACAGCCCTGCCTCAGCGGGCTCACGTGTGTGATTAGAGCTGAGAGAGTGCAAGCAAGCTGACAGAGCTGGACTTAGAAGCTAATTTTTTTCTTTAATAAGTAGCTGTGTTCTTTTCTTTATATCTGACAAATACGTTAGAAAGCAAAAGCTGTTGGTGTTGAATGACCTTGGGTTTGAAGCTCGGTCACTTCCAAGCTGGATGACTGTGGGCAAATTTTTCTACTCTTAAATGCACGTTACAGGGTGTTGAGTAGATTAAAGGAGAACATTTTGTAAAGCACTTACTCAGAATGATGGCTGATGGTGGGGGCAGGCGGGATTGTCATTAGATGTTAGCGCCCTTCTGCACTCTCTTGCCCTTCACCTCTCCTGCAGGAGACTCACCCTGATTTCTCTTGGTACCTGAATAAAGTTGCTACCCAGCAGGCTGTGTGTTCCCGGAAGGATAGCATAGCTTGCCTATCTTCTGCGCTTTGGAAGAGCTGTCTCCTGGAGGTACCGAGACCAGACCCTCATTTTGGTTATTTCAGCTTCAAGCTGTTTGAAGCCTCCCCATCTGTGCCAGCCAAGTACGTGGAAGACAAGGAGAAGATGCTGTCGCGAACACTGCAGTTGGTGGAGCTGGCCGATGAGACGTGGCTGGTGACCGGGCGGCACCCCTTGCCCGTCATCACCGCCGCCACTTTCCTGGCGTGGCAGTCCCTGCGGCCCTCAGATCGGCTGAGCTGTTCCCTTGCCCGATTTTGTAAATTGGCGAATGTGGACCTGCCCTACCCCGCTTCCTCCCGCCTGCAGGAGCTGCTGGCTGTGCTGCTGCGGATGGCCGAGCAGCTGGCCTGGTTGCAGGTTCTGAAGCTTGACAAACGGTCTGTGGTCAAGCACATCGGCGACCTCCTCCAGCACCGCCACATGCTGGTCCGCAAGGCCTTTCGGGATGGAACAGCCGAGATGGACTCCGGGGAGAAGGAGCTGCAGGGCCAGGGGCAGGGGCAAGGACCGGAAGAGGAGGATGTGGGGAGTAGCTCTTTAGAGCTGCCTGCGGTCAAGCGGCCTGCCAGCCCTGCCCTCCTCCTCCCACCCTGCATGTTGAAGCCCCCAAAGCAGGTCTGTCCCACCCCCCCTGTCTCCACGGTCACTGGAGATGAAGACATTTCTGATAGTGAAATCGAGCAGTATTTGCGTACCCCTCAGGAAGTTAGGGACTTCCAGAAGGCCCAGGCAGCTAGACAAGCCGCCCAGAGTGTTCCGAACCCCCCCTGATGCACATTGGGCATTGAGGGTGCTTCCCCTCATCTGATGACTTGCTGAGCGGCCTGACAGCCAGAGGAATCACTGTCCACAAGCCCTCAGGTGTTTCCATTCTCGTTTAAGGGACCCAAGAGGGGTTGCGCAGTCCCAGAGGTGAAGTCAGAAGGAGCGTGGGGGTGCCCGGCTTGGAGAGAGTCCCCTCCCTTGGTCCCAGAGAACAGCTTGCCTCCCTCCCGGTTCTGTGGGCTGCTGGAGCAGCAACGGACTCTCCTGCTCCCTGATTGGATTGGATACACGGCTGCTGTGGGACTGGAGGGCCTCTCCTGGTGTGGATCGTGGGTATTCCCAGCACTACCAGCCCTCAGAGGATGGAAACAGCAACCCTCGGCCCTGTGTTTGTTCACAGACCCTGTGGGCTCATGCGTACAGTGTTAGAGATCCTCTCTCATCACAGAAGGACCGTGGGTGGAGGAGTAAGGTCATAGCTCAAAGGGCTTTGCAAAATTTTAATATATTAAAACAAGAGGCATCTGCTAGAAAACATTCTATTGTATAAAACCCGAGCTTTTAAAAACATGTTTTCTTTGGCACTTTTCATCCCCTCCCTCCCCTTTCCCCAGCGTATTGCAAAAAGCTCTCCAGTGCTAAGGCATTGGCGGGGTATGTAAACAGCAGCCAGCATATGTGGAAGAATAATACGAAGCTTTTTTTTTTTTTTGGCCTTTTTTTTTTTTTCTGTCTAATATTGTCTGTGCAGCAAGCATAAATAACAGGATCCATCTCAGGGCGTGTGGGTTTTCTCCCTTTCCCCTGTCTGTCTGCTCTCGCCTTGGGGATCAGGCTGGAGCCACATGGAGACTGGGCTGAGTTTACCTGTTGCTTTGCATGAGGCCCAAGGTTCCCTCCACTTTCATTATGTGCTGTAACCAAAGGCTGGTGGTTGCTCTTTAGGTTGGGGAAAATATGAGTGGTGGTGTTTAAAAGTAGTGAAGGCACAGGTCCCAGGTGATTCGCAGGGGCCCTACCCTTTGCCTTGGGGATTTGGTTTGGGCTTCAGTGGGGCAGGAAGCTGGTTTGATTTTTTTGGAGGTTTCTAATATGGACCTAGACCTCAGATCATCGATGAGGTTCTCCTGTCTGACCTCATGGAGGTGGGGAGGGCTCTTAGTCCCTGGGAGGTGGAAGGCTGAGACTGGGGATATGGGCTCTGCGATTGACACTAAGTGCTTTTCCAGCACCGCCTGCAGCTTGGCAGTGGCGCCCCTCTTCAGAGCGTTTTTTTTCAGTAGGACTAGGTTTGAGGCAGGACTACCTTCAGCCCCAAATCGAAGTACTAGCTCTGCTATCCTCCTATCCTCCCCGGGTGCCTGGCAGTCAGGTCTTACGTGTGGGGCCTTCGTCCTGAAGTGCCCCCTCTGAGTCCTGCCATGTGGTTCTTGTCCCAGTTCCGTGGGGATGGCCTCCAGCCCCAATCCTGCACCCTTCCACCTGCCCGTCTCCCTCCCAGAGAGCTGGTTGATCCCGGCAGCTGCCTTTCACACGCCACCCCTCCTCTTGCATAGTTAATTCCAAAAAGCAGCACCTGTTTCCTCCGGCTTGTCCTGGTCACCTGGCTCATCCGCTAGGCTCCCTAGTTAGCCAGAGTCGGGGTGAGAGAGGCTCTGGGGTATGGGCACAGAGAGGTGACTTCAGAGGAGGGCGGTTAGGGGAGAACGCCTCACTCAGGCTCCATCACCAGTGTTGCCCAGTAAGGCGGCCGCCGCCAGTGAGGCGGGTGTACCTTAGAAGGGGCCCGCCCGAGCTGTGCTGTCCCCGCCACTCTCGGTCGCGCCGCAGACCGTTTGGACCTTAGCCCGCAAGCCTGGACGGCAGGTGCTGCCGAAAACCGGTCTGCGCTGGGACGGAACCCTACCCCGCCCGCGGTCCAGGGATTGTCTGTCGCTACCCCGGGGAGACGGCCTTCTCCGCAGTGGCGGGCCTGCGCCTTTCCCGTCCCCGGCCTCCAGGACTACAGCTGGAGAGCTCAGCTACAGCGAGGCACCTCCGCTCCAACCTGGGGGCGTACCGATCGACGTCTCTGAGGCGCCCCCCGCCCCGCCCCGAGAAGCGGGGTCACGAGCCCGCACGGCCAGCTTTTGCCGAAGCGGCGCGCGCGCTAATCCTAGACGGTGGTCTCGCTCTTCCAGAGGCCGGTCTTCATGCAACCGCCGCCAGCCGCTTCGGCGCCGCTCGAGGGGACGTCCTCGTACTTGCCGCCCTTGGGGGCGCCGTTGAGGCTGGCCGAGTTAAGCGGGTACGAGCGGCGCTTGCTCTCCTTCTCCAGCGCGCCGCCCCTGAGGTTGTCGCGGCTGGCGCTGCGGCGCTGGCCCGGCCGGCCGGCCTCGGGGGGCGGCGCGGCGCTCGTGTCGCTGCCCTCTGACGGCGTGAGCGCGGCCTCGCCCTCGAGCCGGGGCCCGGCGCCCGGGCTGTGGCGGCTGCTGCCCAGGTAGCTCTCGGACGGGCTGTGGTGCGGGCTGCCGCTCTCGCTTGACTGCAGCTCGGCCGTCCCGGCCGCACCCCCGCGCAGCGCCCGGAGCCGGTTCTTGCCGCTGGCCTCCCCCGCACGGTGCCCCTTGGCGCGGCTCTTGTGGCCCCGGCGGCCGTGGTGCAGGTTGTTAGGGTGGCGCGGGCCGAGGCCGGCCCGGGGGCCCGGAGGCTCGGGCTCCCCCTCCCCGCGGGCCGCCGCCCCCGCCTCGCACGCCTGGCTCTGCGCCAGCTGCAGGTTGGTGAGCTTGCAGGGCCCCGGGGGCGGCGCGTGGCCGCTGCTGCCGCTCGGGGACGACTTGAGAGACGGGGGTCCCTCTCCAAACACCGGGGACCCGTCTTCGGGGCCGGTCGGCGCGGCCCGGGGGGAGGCTCGGGGGGCCGAGGCTGGGGGCCGGCAGGCGCGCCAGGAGGCCCTGACGTCCCTGCGCCTGGCACAGTGGTGGGTGAAGACGAAGAGACCCAGGGCGGAGGCCGCCACCCCGTACAGACAGCTGCACACCACCCGGGGCAGCCAGCGCTGCGACACCGTTAGCGCCCCGCAGGCCCACGTGGCCAGGTAGAGGAAATGCGTGGTCACCAGCGCCCCCAGCTGGACCCCCGGAGAATAGAGGCCGTCGCCGTCCTCCGGGGGCCCGGGCGTCACCACCCCGGTGCTTCCAGCCGCCAGGAGGGAACCCGAGTCAGTCAGGAGGGGGCCGCTGCTCCTGAGCCTGGTGGAACCCCTCAGCTCCTCCCCCGGCTCCAGGGAGCCCCGGCCGGTGCCCGCCTTCGGGCTCTGTGCCAGGGGACCCCGTAAGCGCAGCCCTGCGCACAGGAAATAGATCCAGGTGATGAGCAGAATCAAAGCCACCGGGATGTAGAAGGCGCCTAGGCTCGGGCGCCACACCAGCCAGCAGCTGCGGGGAGACACGGGCGGCGTGTATGAGGTGGGCCCCAAGGCCGGGTGGGTGGGGAGGCGGCTCGGGCCACATGCAGGGGTTGGGGCTGGGTGTCAGGCCGGGCGGGTGGGCGGTGCCCCGCGCCAGGCAGGGAGGTCTGGGGCGGGGCAAGGCGCTCACTAGGGGCCGTGGTCTCGGTAGTTGTGGATGTTGACAGCGGCTGTGATACCACAGATGATGAGTGGGATCCCTCCCGCGATCAGATAGAACCTGGAGAGAGGGGGTTTGGGGGTCAGAGAGATGGGAAACAAGGAGGGGACCTGGTGCTCGGAACCCTCACCGAGGGGTCTCCGCCCCATCCTCCTTCACCGGGAAATCGTGTGCGAGTTTTTTTTTTTTTTTTTCCAGGGATGCAAGGCCCCTCTAGGGCAGGTCTAGGTCCCTAGGGGATTTGGCCAAGACTGGTCTAAGGAATAGAGGCCAGAGTTGCTTTCTGTCCCCCTAAACAGCATGGAACTCAGTGCCGCTCTGGTTCCCAGGATTCCTGCCCAGTGCCCCGCGAAGCCGCTTACTGCCTGGCCGTGGCAAGCCTGAAAACCCCGAGGCGGCACCCCTCCATAGCACTGGGCACACTTGGGTGCCACCTAGGGCCTTGCCCCTCCTGCCTTTTTTTTTCTTTTTTTTTTTCATGGCCACAGAGCCACAGGGTCTTAGTTCCCTGACCAGCAACCGGACTCAGGCCATGGTAGTGAAAGCACTGCGTCCTAACCACTGGACCGCCAGGGAAGCCCCCCACTTCCTCTTGTGTCTTGGGAGTGTGACCTCCCAGGACCTTGGACCCAGCCTGCATCCACCCTGGGAGAACTGCCTTTGATGTCTTTCCCCCACCCTCAGAGCCCTTCCCCACCGCAAAGCTGACAGATGGAAGCGCCTACCGCAGCATGGGTCTGGGGGCAGGCGGGGCAGCATCCCCTTCTGGTGGGGGGGGCGCCCTCCAGGTGAGCTCCTTGTGGAGGACGCGGGCCTTCACGCCCATCCAGAGGAGTGTGGACAGTGAAGAGTAGTGCAGGGTGATGCCCACCTGTGGGATCAAGGGCTGAGGGCTGGGGGGCCGGCCACCCCAAAGCCTCAGCCCCCAGTGTTCTCCCCCGCCTCCCACGTGCCCCACCCCCAGCTCCACCCAGACCGTCCCCAGGGTTGCGTCCCTGCTGTTACCCTACTTCCAGCCCAGGGCTCTCCTCCACGCGCTGGGGTGGCTCCATGACCCTGTCGTTGCTGCCGGCCTCGTCCCCGACTGCTCTTCCATCGCAGGCCCCCCACCCTCCACTTCACCCCAGCTCCTAGTTTCTCTGCTTCTCACCACCCCATACTGTCATGCCCACACCCCCCCAAAAGACTGGGCCCAGAACCGTGGAGCTGGAGCCCATGACCCACCCCTACTTCCGGCCTGTGTGCCTCCCTCCTCTGTGCCCAGGCTGCTGGCACCCGTCCTAGAGACCCCAGCCCTTCCCCCTGCTTACCGCCTGGCAGACCATCTGGTAGTTGGTGAGCGTGATGCCTCCCGCAAACACGGCGGAGGTCATGGCCATGTGGAAGCACAGGTTCAGC